AGGGAAGGGAAGGGAAGGGAAGGGAAGGGAAGGGAAGGGAAGGGAAGGGAAGGGAAGGGGAAATCTGGTTTCCACTGGAATGGAAAATGTGAGGCAGATTATTCCCCACACTCTCATTAAAATTCTTCTGCACATTGATGCTTATGATTTGTCAAAATAGTGGATTCATATTTAACAATATAGCAAAATATCCTCTTTCAGTGCTGTTGTGTTGATATTATGAGCTGTTTGCAGAATGGGGGAGAAGTTGACTGGGGATGAATTTGCCTATGCATGTGTATATAAGAGAGAGATGGGTAAACAAGGAGATTAGCACAGGAAGTAGGCAAAAAATGGGAACAGTAGTTAATTTGGAGCAAGCATTTAAAAGTAACATGTACTGCATGAATTGGGTTTTCTCCTGCTGTAAAATCAACACATGAGACAACTTGGGTGGGTGACACTCAAAAATATTTTCTCCTTTTTTCTTCTCTGGGTCTGGTTGTGACCCAGGAGATGGAGTATTTCCTCATTCTGCTTTTCAACCGTAAGTAAAATCACTTCACCCATGTGTCAAGATTTTCTTGTCTTTTGAGTATGGCAAGGGTTATGCTATCTGCCTTTGTCTGGAAGAACTTGGCAGCTGGGCATAAGAAATACATCTGAGAACAGTTTATTGTTCTCATTACCTACTGTGAAGACTTCTCCAGAAATTAGCACAGCATACCACCGCCAGACCCTCTCTCACCCCAGCCTTGGTGATTCTGTGTCACCACTCCACTCTTCCCTGCTGGCCAATTGTGTGCAGGGACTTTCTCTACTATGGACTCTTTCCCAATATGTCCTTTAGCAAGCAGAGTAGGAAACCACTGACAGAATCTATCAGTTGTCAGCCAGCTGGTGATTCCATCCTCCCATTCAATCATCTGGGCTACACTTGATAATGACTGGCAGATGACAGTTTTCATAGCTTTGTACCCAGATCTTCTAATTCTTTGTGCTCAGAGATTTCAAACAGAAAAAAATACTGTTCCAGTTGATGCCATACTCTGGTACAGTCTGCCCAACATTTTTGAAGGTTTCACTTTAAATTGCATCCCAAATTATGTATAATTTCTTCCATCTCAAAAGGTGCATTGCCTTAGCCTGAGCCATTAGTTTATTTTTCAAGATACAGTCTGATAGTGATTTTTCTCTGGAATGAGTAATTTAACGTCTGCTATTTGTTGTGACATTTTCAAAGAAATGAGTTCTCTCTGTGGTAAACCAGGTGCTTCTTGATTTAAATTATCACTTAATTGCAAGTTTTATGAAGTACTTTCTTGTTTGGTTTGATTTTTCTTTTTCTGGGTAGTTAGCCTTCAAAATCTGAATACCCACAGTGTCTGGAGAGGTTTCCTCTTTGATTAGGTAAAGCTGGATGGCCAAGAAAAGTAACAGGGTCAGCCTAATGTCTTCAGTTTAGCAACAAAATAAATACAGCATGCCTTTATGCTGACCTGCCTAGGTGGAGGCATGAATGCTGGGAGCAAAAGGGTGCTCAGCCCTTTCCCCATTCAGTTCTGGGTTATACTACACAGGTTGTCAGGATCTGATCTTCCATAAACCCAAATCTAACGCTAAGCTTCTACTCATAGTGAGAAATGGCCTTCAGAGGCCAACTCAATCATCTTTCCCAATTTTCCATACCCTTGTTGCAAGTTTAGCTGTCCTTTGCAGACAAAGTCTGATAAATTCCTGAAGATCTCAGATGATGGAGATTCCCCACCACCTCCAGGCATTCCATTCAGCTACTTCTTATTCATTCAGAATTTCTTCTTATTCATTCTATGCATAATGTGGCACTCCCTTGCAGCAGTCTAAGGTCTTAGTACTTATCCCAGTAGGTTCAGAGAAAGATAAATCCTTTCCTCACTGCAATCTCTTACAGACTATCATGTCTTCCCTGGATGAAGCCATCCAAGTCCTTAAATAGTACTACTTGGATTGCGTTCAAAAACCTCTGAAAGAAACAGCAAGGGTCCTGGGGTATTGCTCCTGCTGCACAAGCACCTGAGAGGGGCATCCAGCACCGAGCTCAGGCAGACCAATAGTGTGGTTCTAGGCAGCTGGGTTTTAAATTATGTAGATTGCTCATTGAGCTGCTTCAGTTGTGCTGAGGGAGGATGTTCATTAACAAAGGAAGAGATGGTAACACGTTTCCAAGGAGTTGGGATACCACACTGTTCATGATGCTCTGGTCCATTCTAGCTGGCCCATGCAATGGAGAAAGCCTGTGTGAAAAAAGGGCTCTAAGCCACAATTTATGGTGTGCCTTGCTGTGTCAGGAAAGCTGTTGCAAAAATCAACATTTCATTCATTTGCTGCTTGTTGGTGGTGTCAGGAAACAAATTTTTGCAGTCAAGTAAATTTCAGTGTGCCAGAGCACAACAGCAGGAAGAGAAAATGTTGATGATAGGTGGGAAGGGAGTGTTGTGGGAGGGAAGGCACTCCTGGGCCCAAGCTCAGGCCAGGGTTGTTGTCCCTGACTGTGGTCCACTCTCTCCTCCATCCCCCTGGCCTTGCAAATGCCCCTGAACTCTGTCCTCATAATGGTGTAGGAATTCTTCCCCTAAGAGAATCAAGGTTCTTCCCTTCCAGTGCCTACAGCTGCTCCCTCCACCGAACCCTGCCCATAATACTGTCTCAGCACCAGAGGAATGGCTGAATGTTGTGGCAAAACACCCTATGGAAAAGCTCCAGTAGTGGAAAGAAAAAGAAGGACAAGAGAGGGGGAAGTACTTCAGGCATTTTGTTCCTGCAAAACTCTGAGCATCCTCTCCAGGTGTCAGGGTGATCTTGAATTCCCGACATCCTCAGCACTAGATGTCATATCCTGACAACAAGGTGTCATGGTGCCACTTCATGGGACTCTTCTTGATTTCAAGATACTTTGACTATCAGGTAAAGTACACAATAAAACACCTCTAAAAACATTTGTCTCAGCTGACTGATTTGGACCTCCTGAGCCATAATGCTCAAGCCAACTGAGCAGACCCATCACTCCTAGGTAACTATCATGGAAAGTTATTGGAGCAAGGTTCCTGACATTCTGCATCATTTCCAGGCAGGACATTGCAGGAGCAGACCTTTTAAGGAGTAGAAAATTAAACAAATAAATGTAAATAGTGTTCATTGCAAAGGAGGATTAAGCCCCAAACTAACAGGCATTAATATGTGAAGATGGCCTTCTGAAGCAATCTTCTGTCAGTAGAAGCAGCTACTGCTCCAGAAATTGTGCACTGTCCTTTGTCATAGGTCTGGCATCTTCCTTCTCACCCCCAGCTGGCTGTCCAACCCTTGTCTGCCATCACTGGATGCTTTGAGCATTGTGTCAAATTTATACTGGGTGCATCAAGATGCAGGAGCCCTGGTCTTCCTTTCTGCTGGTGAAGTGTCAAGCACACCTAGGGAATCCTATAATAATAAATAACAATAACACATGCACATATTCATAACCAAGTCATTGTTTAAGTAGTGAATATTCAGCACACACCAGATGGTTCTTCTTTCACTGCCTACAAAATGGAAATGACCAGTTACTAAAGATAAAATATTCCTTCCCTCTGCTGCTTCCCTAGGGCTCCTACTTGTTGTTCTCTTGTAGAACTGCTCCTCCCTAGAGAAAAAAGCCTTTCAGCCTTGGAAACATTGAAATCAGATCTGAAATATGAAATGTTTCAGCAGAAGCTGCAGATAAATGAACACAGTGTTAAATCAATTCCAGAAAATAGACTTGGATTAATCCTCCTGCCTGCTGCAGCAGTGCTCTTGGGAGAAACAATCTCTCTCCCCACTGTCACATGGCTGCTGCCTCTGCTATCAAGATGCCCCTCCACTGGGTCTGTAAAAGCAGTTCCTAAATTATTTTTGCTCTTCAAAAATGGTAGCAAGCAGCCAGTGCACTAGGTGTACTGCACATGACTGCCACCCAGCCACACTGCAGCTGGCAATGATTTTAACTGACTGATTTTTACTGTTGCTGCACAGAGGGCCAGACTCTGCCCGCTTCAT